AAAAGAAAAAAAAGAGCGTTTCAAAGCGATTCACTATTATTAGACCTCGAGAGAGCAGCTGGAATAAAGCCTATAATTTATGCAGATACTAGAAGATACGAGTGCCAAGTCCGTGATTCCCAAATACTGTAATAAAATAAGTGTAGTGTACTCCGTAAGCTCCACTTGTCACCACTGTGTCGGATCGATCAGGGTTTTAATAACTAGGATGTGAAAATGAATCGGTTTTGACAGTTTTGGATGCGGTTTTCGGTTTTGATCGATTTTTATTTCAGTTTTGGGTGATTTTTTTCTACGGTTTTGCTTGTTTGTTTGTTAACGACTTCACCGTGTGTGACTAGACCCGGAAGGGTTAGTGCAGACGGAACACAAGGTCCATGCGAGGCACCACCCTCCGATGTGGACCTGCTGTCCTAACCCACCCATCCCACCCCAGGGGAGGACATCCATCACACAGTAATCTCGTGCGTGGGAAATTAACGTCTCCTGCCCATAGCCCCACAGGAGACAGGACCTCCATTTATTCGTCCCTATCTGAGAGGACTAGAATATCTAACCATTACTTGATGTTGTAGAAAGGTAGCAAATTCTTCTCAATTATTTTAAGACCCTGAGTGTTGGTCCATCCTGCGGTTTCCAATAGGATCCAATGCCTCCCTCAATTGTGGAATGCATGCCCCATGGGCATGAGTGCCCAGCACATGGAAAAAAAACCTGTTTTAACTGTGGAAGAATTAATCATTTTGTGCATAAATACTGAGCTTCTTCATGAGTAAGGAGGAACAGTCTTAACTATTCATGAAACAGCTGACCCTGAGCAAGACTAGTGCTACATCAATCTGATCACAGGAAACAAACCCCAGCCACAAATAGCCATCTTCAAACTGTATATCTCTGTGCCAACACCAGAGAAAGAAGTTCAGTTTCAAACAGATACCAGATCTCAGTGTGACATAACTCCCTGCCCAGTTAATTATACAAGCATGTTACAGGAGACACACTGCTTCATCACCTTTAACCCTGTACAAAGGAGACCGTGTCATACACAGGAGAACATCATCAAATTGCTGGGAAAGTAACCCTTCCCACCCAGTCTAGAGGAGTACGAAAATCACTTGACTTCAATATCATAGATGGTGACTATCTGCCTGTTTTGTTATTGAATACAAGCATTGGTCTTGGCCTGGTCAGCCTCCATAACTGAGATGTCCAGGTGTTAAAGGTTGATTCTCCCTCCTTTGCTCCACCTGAGGATTTTCCAGATGTTTTGAGGGATCAGGCGCACTGCCAGGAAAGTACCACATCATCATCAATGAAAACATTCCACCCTGAATACATGCCCTGAGATGGGTACCACTGGCCATGCAACAGCCCATAAAGGAAAAACTTGACCAGTTGGTTGAGTGCAAAGTGCTCATGCCTGTAACAACCTACACAGAGGGTATCCAGCATGCTGGCCATTGTGAAACCAATGGCAAGCATATAAGGTACAGATTTATATTGATCTAAGAGACCTCAACCATGCCACTCACCGAGAACATTACCAGCTGTCAGCCATTGATGAAGTCGCGTCCTGATTAGCAGGCACCAAGAAATTTGCACTCTGGAATGCTTAGGATGACTTCCATCAGATCTTACTGGATGACGCCTCAAACTACTTAACAACGTTCAACTCACCCTTTAGACATTGTCGGTGGACTCGTATGCCTCAGTTTTGGCATATCCACCACTCTGAAACTTTGGCNTTTCTGGTAGGTTCTTTACTGAAAATGATAATGATTGTACAATCATGAATTAGCAATGATTATGATGATAATAATTATGGATGCACTGTAATAATCATATAATTAACAATTATTCCACAATCGCACATTGGATATGAGATAATAGATAGCCAACAAGGCGCGGAGCGGCGAGTTGGCTATAATCATGTCATAACCAACAAACGCGTGTTGAATAATTGTTTTATTAAAAACGCTACATTAAATTATTAAATTTTTAGCTCCCTTTCAATTCTAAGCTTATGCGTACCCTTACGATATCGTAGTTTATGGTATATGGGCTCATATACCATAATGGCTAAGCCAATGAAAAGTCTTGGAACCTCCAAAGGTTACTAGTATAGCAGAGAAGATACTTCAAATGCACATTAGAAATCACAGATTAATTAAATGAGGTGCTTAATCAAAATTGCAAACAAAAATAAAGAGATCAGTGTGAAATCACAGATGAAGGGTGAAGGAGAGATTAACTTGAAGTCTTGGATTTTTGCCTGAGTAAATTACGTCCCCTCTTGTCTATCACACACTTGGTTGAACTCATATAGATCTTTGAAGGCCTGATTCAATTGATAACCTTCATTGAAGATCAGTGGTCTTCAGTGTTACATTTCTCAGGGATATTTTCTCAGTTTAGTTTCTGCTGTATTTTACACAAATTCAGCCACTTAAATACAGCTGCACAAATTCAGCTACAACCATCAATTATAACTGCACAATCTTCAACCTGTGCTTCACCCTTTTCATCTGTGATTTCACACTGATCTCTTTATTTTTGTTTGCAATTTTGATTACGCACGTCATTTAATTAATCTGTGATTTCTAATGTCCATTTGAATTGTTTTCTCTGCTATACTAGTAACCTTTGGGGGTTACAAACAGCAAATGATACCATCATGCAAAGTCTAATTGTTGCAATAAAGAATAGATTGGCACCGTCCAAGAAAGAATGTGACCTCCAATTGATGCCATATTATGACCAGAGGAGTGAACCTGTAGAGGACAATGGAATAGTATTCCTTGGGGAATGGCTACTAGTACCTACCTCGTTGAGGAAAGAGATGCTGAAACAAATTCACAGATAATGACAACGGCATGAGGGGATGTCTCTGTTGTGTCAGAGAGGTCCTGCACTGGTCACTCATGAATGTGAAAGTGAAGGATTTTATTTCCAAGTGCTCAGTTTGTCAGTCTCTTAAGCCTGATCAATGCCGCAAAAACATGCAGCCCCACCCTGTACCGTCACACCCTTGGTCA